TGTGTGTGTGTGTGTGTGTGTGTGGTGGTGGTGGTGGGGGGGGGGGGGGGTATATTTGCTGCACTGCTCCACACTTGCTTGTTAGATTTCAAGAAGTACCAATTTGCTGAGCATCAGCGATTATCTCCTCCTCACTTCTGAGCACTGACACTGTCAGTGTGTCACAGCCACCTGTAGGGCTCTGCTGCTGAACATCATGAGGCTGAGGAGGAGCGCAAGTGCACGAGTCTGTAGACTGGCAAACTCAGAACCCATTGGCTATTGGTCTGAGGATGATGAGCCTCGAGAGCACACGTGTCAAACGCAAGGCCCGCGGGCGAATCCGGCCTGCCACGTTATTTTATGTGGCCCGCGAATCCACCAGCAAAAAAAAAACAAAAAAAACTTTTTTTTTTTTTTTTTTTTTTGGAAAAAAAAAGGTAGACTCTCTCTGGTCTCTCTGGTCTCTCTCTGGTCTATCTCTGGTCTCTCTGCTCTCTCTGGTCTCTCTCTGCTCTCTCTGGTCTCTCTCTGGTCTCTCTCTGGTCTCTCTGGTCTCTCTCTGGTCGCTCTCTGCTCTCTCTGCTCTCTCTGGTCTCTCTGGTCTCTCTCTGGTCGCTCTCTGCTCTCTCTGGTCTCTCTCTGGTCTCTCTGCTCTCTCTCTGGTCGCTCTCTGCTCTCTCTGGTGTCTCTGGTCTCTCTCTGGTCTCTCTGGTCTCTCTCTGGTCTCTCTGGACTCTCTGGTCTCTCTCTGGTCGCTCTCTGCTCTCTCTGGTCTCTCTGGTCTCTCTCTGGTCTCTCTGCTCTCTCTGGTCTCTCTCTGCTCTCTCTGCTCTCTCTGCTCTCTCCCTGGTCTCTCCCTGGTCTCTCTCTGGTCTCTCTCTTGTCTCTCTCTGCTCTCTCACTGGTCTCTCTCTGGTCTCTCCCTGGTCTCTCTGCTCTCTCTGCTCTCTCTGCTCTCTCTCTGCTCTCTCCCTGGTCTCTCTGGTCTCTCTGCTCTCTCCCTGGTCTCTCTGGTCTCTCTGGTCTCTCTCTTCTCTCTCTCTGGTCTCTCCCTGGTCTCTCTCCGGTCTCTCCCTGGTCTCTCTGGTCTCTCTGCTCTCTCTGCTCTCTCTAGTCTCTCTAGTCTCTCTGCTCTCTCTCTCTGGTCTCTCTCTGGTCTCTCTGGTCTCTCTCTGGTCTCTCTCTGGTCTCTCTCTGGTCTCTCCCTGGTCTCTCTGTTCTCTCTGCTCTCTCTCTGCTCTCTCTGCTCTCTCTAGTATCTCTGCTCTCTCTCTCTGGTCTCTCTCTGCTCTCTCTCTGGTCTCTCTGCTCTCTCTGGTCTCTCTGGTCTCTCGTCTCTCTCTGCTCTCTCTGCTCTCTCTCTGGTCTCTCTGCTCTCTCTCTGGTCTCTCTCTGGTCTCTCTCTCTGGTCTCTCTCTCTGGTCTCTCTCTCTGGTCTCTCTCTCTGGTCTCTCTCTGCTCTCTCTGGTCTCTCTGSTCTCTCTCTGCTCTCTCTCTGCTCTCTCTCTGCTCTCTCTGGTCTCTCTCTGGTCTCTCTCTGGTCTCTCTCTGGTGTCTCTCTGGTGTCTCTCTGGTCTCTCTCTGGTCTCTCTGGTCTCTCTCTGGTCTCTCTCTGGTCTCTCGTCTCTCTCTGGTCTCTCTGGTCTCTCTGGTCTCTCTGGTCTCTCTGCTCTCTCTGCTCTCTCTGCTCTCTCTCTGCTCTCTCTCTGCTCTCTCTCTGCTCTCTCTGGTCTCTCTCTGGTCTCTCTGGGCTCTCTGCTCTCTCTGGTCTCTCTGGACGAGTCCCGTAAAGGATCAAAATGTAATAATTCATAATTAATAATTGGTTTTAGGTCCAGGGTCCAGATACAACAGCTTCTGGGTCCGGAACCAGATCACGGTCCGCCTATTAGTGACCCCTGTGACGACTATAGACGTTATCGGCAAAAAGCCTTAAACCAACGACCACTATGACAAGGAGGGATTGTCATTTTCTGTAAACTCATATTATTCATGGACTACTTTATCGACTTTTTCACAAGCCCTGTAAAGAAAACAAGTTTCGTATCAAATGCATTAGAAAGAAACGAAGGTTGAATATCCTGTAAACAAATTGATGAAGATTTGTAAGACCCCCTATTTCTAAAGTATTTAAAAACAAATTGGTCTTTGTATAATCCTCTGACATGTAAATAGTGTTTTTATCACCGAACTATTTGTGACAGTCACGTGATCGCGTGCGCGCCAAGGTGCCAGTGTTGCCTACTTGGCGACTTTCTCGCTAAATCGTCGACTTTCCAAACCCTCATGGCGACTTCTTTTGTCAAAAGCTACTAGCGACAAATCTAGCTACTTTTTCTGGTGTTGTTGGAGACTTTTCTGGTGTTTTGACTCTGACGTGAAAGCACGTACCGTTCGGCACGCGGGAGCTGCCGTGAGCCCCTCCGCCGCTTCAAAGCACTCAAAGGTGATTAGTGTCACAGTAGCCCCTCGCGCCGCAGTCCCAGCTGCAGAAAGAGGAGACCCACACTCTCCGTGTCCAGACTGCAAATGAATCGCGCAAGCGTAAAGCCGCCACTGTTCCCGCCTCTCTCCTACAGCACTCATTACAATTATGCAAATTAGGCGATGACGTCATTTAGCGACTTCTAGCGATTTTTAGGACAGCCAATAGCTACTTTCCTTACTGAGGAGTTGGCAACACTGCAAGGTACATGAATTCAGAGGTGCACGACCAAACGCGCGACCACTTGCGTCCCACAAGCCGGCCGTGATTACACACCTCGTGCCAGATTCACTTCGGCGAGTATTAACTAAGCTTGAGTGTTTGGTCCCAGTGTGACTACTTTTATATGAAAATAAGTTTACATTTTGCGATAGCCTTTGTTTAGTGCCTGGTGATCGTATGCATTAGAAATACATTCGTGTACACAAGCCTGACCTAAAACATGCGAGAGGAATTATGACAAAGATTCACAGTAAAAAGCCGCCTCACCTCTCACATTGTGACAGGAAATAAAAGAGGGAGATTTCACACTAATTAAGTCCTGCAGGGCTCTATCTCTCCCTTTTTTTTCATCCAGCCGAGCGTTGTTTCTTGGCAGCTTCCTCATGTTTGCTTGACCTCATGACTTCACAGCTCCGATGACGACAACAAGCAAATGAGCCATCAGTGACAGACAGACAGCGAGCCAGCAACACGTTCACGTCTCCTTTAAATAGGCAGGGACACCACATCAAGTCATCAAGGTAGAGAACCATGTGACATGTCTGCGTTAGGAATGTCCTGCAACTTCAATTTAAAAAATCCCAAACTGCAGCTTTAACTGGAAACGACTGAATAATTCGGAAAATTCAGCAATTTTCTCATCAAAAATGTAAAATCTGACTCCACTTTCTCAAAGCGGAATAATTGCTGGCTGTCATTTGAAAATGATTGTAAATAAGGTGAATCATTAAGAAATAAATATATAGAAAAAGTGGTTCGTTGCTGCTCTAAACCAGTCCAAAAACAATTGAGGTTATTTGCCAAACATCACAAACATTCTCACTGGTTGTTGAGATTGCGTTCCACTCACTGTAAACCATAGCGTGTAGCTGTAGAAGCTGTAATATAGCTTCAGTTCAAACATGACTAAATGATTCTTTCTTTTAGATGAAATAAAGAGCAGCTGATATTTCATCCGTTTATTTTAAAGCCATTTCCTAACAAACAGTGGATCTAAATGGAGTCGACATTTAGCTGGACAGAAGTCAAATCCTGACACTTTAGCAGGCGACCGCGCAACCGAGTCCAACTCGGAGCACCAACGCCTCCAGGCCAGCAGGCTATTAGGAGGCAGGGGTGGGGGTGGGGTGTGTGTGTGTGTTTGTTTGGGTGGTCTGGGAGAGGTGTGTGCACTGGGGCACACGCAGCAGCGTAGGCAGCGGAGACATTCGGCCATCACACATGACAACCTGTCAACCTGTCATGCCTCGACCTCCAGGCGCGGCGGCTGGACTGGCAGAGCAGGCTGTGTGTGATGTGTGGGTACGCGGATAAATAGGACTCATTATTTTGGGATTTTATGAAAGAAGAAATTTGAATTTAGACCTTAATTCACATGGATGTGTATTTATTTTCATCATGAATAATAAACTGTGCGTTATAATGAACTCCGTCCTCTGGCAGCAATAAAGAACTTTTTGATGGCTGAGTTCAAACCAAAGACCGACAGTCTCCCTGACCTTTGCCGGAGTGGCCCTCATCTATCTTTGTTACGCATCAGCCGGAGACGGCCGACTGTGATGTTGACAGATGTGATGTCCGAGCACATCACAGCAGATTAGACGAGAGGTAAATACTGCAACTTAGATAACAGGGTGCATACTGGAACCAAGGCCACATGACTCCTGTGCTGAGCGCTAACAGAGCCACTGTCGAACCAGACGCTTACGTTGTAAGGAACAGTCAGTAGCATTTAGAGGGATTTATTGGCAGAAATAGAATATCATATTCATGAACATGTTTTCTTTGATGTATTATCGCTTAGAATGAGCCATTAATATCTACGTAGGGAGCAGGTCCTCTTCACAGAGTCTGATATGTTGCACCGACATGTTTCTATGGTAGCCCAAAATGGACAAACCAAACACTCGCTCTAGATAGGCCATTCACGCTCTTGCGTCCACCACCATAGTTCTCCTACAGTTGACACACAGGAGAAGTTTCAGTTGGTTGCTTACCTCTAGATGCCACCAAATCCTACGCACTGGCCCTTTAAGGGAAAACGCAAGAGTTGACATGGAGGCAGTGGTAGGAGTTTAGTTTTAGTATTTTAAAAGGAACAATCACATATGAATGTTCAATTGGTAGTTTTAGTTTTAGTTTCTATCCATGTATTTATGCCGTTGGGTTGCCATCGGAATCATTTATAACCGCTGTGAATTTAAGCTTTCCTCCAAAAAGGATCAAGCTGCTAACTTTGACGTATCAGGTTTAAAGCCCACAGGCAGTACAACATCTGTATGTGTATCCTTCAAGTGTAAATTAGAAGTCAATCTCAGACTGTTTAATCAGGATTCAGATTTGTCAGATAGGTTGGAAACTCTGTATTTGTGCATATTATCTATTCCTCTGTCCCCTGGTTTGCAGAGCTACTTCCTGGGACCATGTGCTTGCTGTAGATGTGTGTACAAGTCCTCTAACAGACAATCCAGATGCATTCATTTTGCCCTAATTTCTCTTTAGTGGTTTAAATAACCGGGTTAAACAACCTGCCTGACCATTTGTGTTGTTGGAAAACTGTGACTAGCAATGCTGCTGCATCTCCAGACCTCAGCGACGAGTCAGGGATGATGGTTACATTTTGTAAAGAAGACGTTTCTGTTTTCCTCTTTATTCAGACTGTGCCACACAGACCAGGAGGTTACTTACCTTCTAGTTCCTGAGAAAATTGGGGACCTGAAGTCCTTTTTCTTCATAAACTCAATGATTTTGAGTTCTCTCTTAGCAGTTTGGGCAGGAAGCTCAGGAGCAGAGAGGAACAGGGCTCGTTCGAGTTCGGCCTCAGATACTGGCCAGTTTAGCAACTCAGACACACGCTGACTAGGTGTGGTTGTGTGGACGTGCAGGGATTTGGGAACAGTGAGGAGAAGGTCAGTTTGTGAGAGTGAACAAGGTAAAGAGGTTATACAGGAAAAATAGACAAGAGAGAGAGGAAAAGTCAACGTGCTAACAACATGCAAACAACATGCTAACAACATGCTAACAACATGCAAAATGAAAACAAATCAAAGCATTTCACTTAAAAGCATAAGAAACAGAGAGGGGCTCACATATTGCATTCTATAGCTGCCTGTATATGTGGACTGGCCTGCTTGTCATTCATCTGTCATCATTTTCCTGTTCCAACATCAGTTTTGACAATAAAATAAATTGCATTTTGTGTCGTAATCAATTTAGCTTTCAAGGCTAGCTATCGGCTGTGTGTAAAGTGGAGGACGTGGGACTAGCAGCACCTTGATGTGTACCTGTTTCCATGGACATGGGAGGCACAGAAGGCGAAGCTGTAGTGCAGCAGGGTGGGGTCGATCATGGCTCCGTTCTCCGCCCTCTCCAGCAGATCGCTCAGGTAACATAAATGCCGATGGCAGCCTCGAACGCCGTAGCGAGCGCAGTACTCATCTAAGACAAACACCTGACCGGGACTGAACCAGCCCTGTGGGTAACACACACAAACACTGCTGAGTGAGGCAAACAGATGTTGGTACACACATACAGACATCATACAAGACTGCAAGCCAGGCAGCATGCTTCATCATTCTGGTATCTTTACCTGTAGACTCCGCCTCTGAATGAAGGCAATCGTTGCCATGCTTTATTAACCTGACTGTTACCACAGTCCTGTCTGTGTCTAATCTACAGACAACAGACATTACTATACATGGAGCTGGACTAGGTCCGTCCTTCAAACTAAGGCTACATCCACGCTAGTAAGTTTGAACATGTATAACTTTTGCCATGCAAACTTATGCATCCACACTACCCCGGCATTCTATAACCCCTAAAACTGAGACGCTTGAAAACTTTTCTGATGCTGTTTTTGTGTGAAAGCTCTGGGGTTGCGTTTTGCTCTGGACAGCCAGAAACAGAGACTTTTGAGGCAGACACCTTTGAATTGGTTGAATTGGTAACACTTTTTGGAAGAAACAACTAACACCAGCCGTGGTTATCATTCAACCTTGTTGTCTCTGCTAGCCACTGTCTATTATACTACTACTACCTACATGTGCAGGAGGCAAGCAGTGGCGTTATCAGCCCTATGGAGCACACTTTGTTCCTCACAACTATAATGAAGTTCACAAAGAAACTGTAAACAAACAAAGCATGAATGCTGTTCTCCAGTACAAGCTACGAGTGTGAGAACAGACAACAACTAAATCAAGGGGAAACCAGTCATCTTCACTCATAATGTAGCAAAACTTTGATTTGTTTTGTTCATTTTTTAAAGTAAATTTGAATTGTGTGAGAGAATGATAGAACAAGACCTATACGCTGCCTTGTATTGTTTGGATTTGTTTTCCCCACCAGTCAGTGTGAGTGAGTGTGTGTGTGTGTGTGGGGGGAATAGAGCAAGAACAATAATACTCATTTGTATTTTCTGTATCTAAGCAACCACCTGCTTCCTGTTTACACTGGCATGCTCAGTGTACATGAACGGTCATGTTATATGCGTTTTGAGTTTCTCTCGGTTACATTACGAGGTCTTTCCTTACTAGGCAGGAGTAGGAGTCGTTGAGTCTGTGGTCCAAGGTGAGGCGCTGTACCAGCTCAAACAGCGAGCCGTGGTCAAAGTTACAGGGGTTGGCTGAAATAAACTCGTCCATGCCGTGCTTCTGGGCTCGGTCAGCATCTATGCACACCCATCCAATGAGGGCCGGACAGGGAGAGAGAGAGACAAAAACGGGGGCAAATATCAGTGCTGGAAGAAAAAAAACGGAAGAAAATAAACTGTGGCATTCAATTTATTCTTATGTGGAACACAAATTGAAACAAATAATCCTATGAAGTGCCAACAATACCGCAATGCTGAACGCACAACAAAGGACGTCAACTGCAAATTCAAGTTAAATCAAGTAATTGTTCAATCTCTGACAAGTATAAAAATACACCAAAGCCCTTTATTATAGGTAAAGAAATGTTTTCATGTAACAGCATTATTTAGCTTTTTGTTTTTAAAGGGCCAAATAGTTATTAGGTTATGTGTCCAGCATTGACTCCAATATGGGCCCTTCATGAGGGTTGCCAGTTTTGTTGCCAGGAGGTGACTGCTGATCTGGAGGTTGATGGTTAGTTCTGTGGGTCATGTTTATGTTGAATTCATGCACAGTCAGACATTCACATCTAATCACGTCAATTTGGATCATTGTAGCTCTAAAAATCTTCTCAAGTTTAAGTCTTTTCCGCTGTCTTAAGCCCTTTAGACACTGGTGTCGTAACAACTAAAAAACACAAAGATGCGAAATACTTGCCTGCAAATGATATGTGTCTAGGGCCTTTACTGTGAAAGGGAAGAACAGAAGGAATGGATCTGGTAGGCGCTGCCTTTGTCAAGGTTGTAAAGTTTCTGTGTCTCGGTGTTGCTGTTTCATAAATATAGGTGCAACTCAACCCGTTCCACACATCATGATTGGTTGTTTAAATTCTGTTGCTTTTTCGCTACATAATATATATTTATTAGTGCTGGGCAATGATTACAATTCAAATGAATTCAAAAGTAGTGTATTGCGCACTTTTATTTTTAAAGTACTGCTATATGAACAAAAGGTTTGTAAACACTTTAAACACATCAGGTTCTTGTTAACAGCAGTATTCCCTTTACACAGTAGCAGTTATAATACAATTATAATGATTCTGATAATAGATATTCAGCCGGTGTTCACAACTTTATCTTCATGTGTGTAAGAGATGCAATTTGAAATATTCACCTCGAAAACTGTAAACCTATCTACGTCATGTTTTTATGTTTGTTAAATTCTCAGTAGCGATAACTAAATGATGCTTATTATACATATTACAAGCAAAACACTAAACTCTAAAAAAGTAATATAAATAAATCATTTATTTTTTGCTTTTTTGGTATTGTGGTCAGACACATATGCAACGCTGATTACCGTAATATGCGTGGTATTTGTTATAAATGTACGTTGGTACATAGAGCGTGATAAGAAGCTGTACATGGAGGGACTTAGGACCCAGGGGAATGTAGGTGAAGGAAACAGGAAGAGACGGAAGAGACGCCACACAAACAGCTGTTCACCGCTCACTGCTGGCCAGTCGGCCGGCCGGTTGTTGTGTTAAAAATGTCCACTTAATAATAAAAACAAAACTGCGTTAACGCGCGATAAAATAATTGTCGGCGTTAATTAATGAATGCATTATCGTGATAATAACATGTTAACTTTCCCAGCACTAATATGTATATATATATATATATATATATATGTAT